GGAAAGAATAAGAATGGGAACGAGTGTGTGTGTGTGTGTGTGTGTGCATGCAAGGCATGTACTTGGAACATGTTATTATTAATATTAGTAATCCAAAATTTTATATTGTTGGCCTATGAAGCATGGATGTGCTTTGAAATTCAGCCCCAAATGAAACTGAACTCTCTTCTACTTATCATAATAATGCTTGCTTAAAAGCCAAACTTTTAAGATTTTGCTCTAAAGATTGTTTATTGTTCTGTATGAATATAAAACAATGTTAAAATGGTATTTTATCACTAAACAATTTGATACATTTAAGTGGCACGTACTTGTATACATATTCATATTTTCTCACTGAAATGGAAATTCTTGTTATATAAACTGATACTCTTTACATACATTCTCAGAATAATGTAAATCAATAAAGTTCTAAATTAATATCAATTTCAGAAATGTGCTGCTGTTTTAATGACACCTTTAAAGGATATAACAGCAAAACATCTCCACTTAAAAATGTGTTAGAAATGAAAAAAATGGATAGTGAATTTAAAAAAAATGTGAGTAGAACCATAAAAGATTCTGCCAGTTAACTGTCTTTTAGTTTTAGTTACACAACAGACTCATCAATAATTTATCTCTATAGTCTCTTCTTTAGGAAAAAAGTGAAAAAGAGTATAACATGAATATGAATGCTATGCAAAAGTTATATAGGGTTTTTTGGTTCATGCCGATTTATAATTACCTAAGTTTTTAGTTTGAACTCTTCACACTATAGGCATTTGTTTAGACTAGATGTTAGAAACAGTTATTGCCTGTGAAAGACCTCAACAGTGTAATTGAAGAGACAGGACGTAGATATTTGAGAAACAATAGATATTTCTGTTTTGGAACAGAATGAATTCCAAAAGTCTCTAAATAAATTAATAAATTTGAGAGTCCAAAATGACTGAAAGGCACTTACACTTTACTCCCTAAATATGTTTACAACAAATAGGAATGTAAATTCATTGTTCGAAATCTCAAACTATGCATAGCCATTTTATATATCTATAAAATATATATGTGATATATGTATGGATGTGTGTGAATAATTATTTTAAACAGACCAGTTTTATGTTCACAGAAAACACATTGTAAAAGATAACACCATCTTAATCTTCACAAGAAATTCATGGGGAAAGTCTTAGCAGCTATGGCATGTCATTGATACCTTGTTCTTCATTTTGATGTCTTAAAGATTTGAATAGGCTTTAAATCTATGGAATCGTTCATGGATTGAAACTAACATTTGATCAACACTTTAACTCTCCTATTCTCCAACAGACTCCTATGTTCTCCTCAATTAACATTAGACTAAGGATTATGGAAAGTTCATGATGAATCCTTAGCTAGCAAGAGTTTTTCATTATATCAGCAACTTTCCTCACCTCCTATTATTTACAATCACATAACACTTGTCACATATTGAATGATTTGTGATCTTCTTTCAAAGCCATTCTTATTTTTCAATTTAATAAATTTAAAAGAACTGTTTACTATTTCCTCAATACTTAAAAACAATTCTCTACTTTTGTGTCCATCGTAATTACTTCTCTCTTTTCACCAGCATGTTAAAGACTCTCATTCTTTTACACCAATGGACTTTGCAGGGCTTATTATAGCAAAGATTAATTAAGGAAAAAATCCTCAATTTACAAATGAGTACAAAAAACAGTCTATAGAAATAAACAGCGCATAACCACTGATATCCTCTGTTAGTGGTAGAGTTAAAGTGTCATTTTTATGGAATCTTTACCAAGTTAATATGGATGAAAGTTAATAAATTAAAAGTGTTGAATTGGAAAGAACTTGTATATATGTAAATTGTATGAACTCTGGTTTGACCTTCATTCTGTTTTCTAATACTGTTCTCCTTTTCTTGCTCTTATCACAAAATGGTCGTGAAGTCATAGAAGGAAATGCAGTTTATAATTTGGAGGTCAACCACCTTTTAATTTTTAAATTAAAAACTGTAGTTTTATATGATGACCGTTTGACTCATCAAATAGCTAAAAAGCCTTAGGAGAGCAACTTTACATCTCTGTTATTGAACCTCCTTTTTTAGACATTTGAATACCCACTTAGAGTATTGTGTAATTTAGCTGTCTGCTGTGATCTTTCCTCCCGAGCTTTAGAAACAAATGACTTCTGCTAGTATTTTCCCACTATTATCTATTTCTAATGTATTTAATTTTTGTGGAATTATATGATCTATCTACTGTATATAAAATAATCATTAACTTTTCATTGGAATGATGATTTTAGTTCTGTTTAATTATCTAATTGTGTGATCATTGTGTATTTCAATTATAAAACTATACTTCGGGTAACCAACAAAGCTTCAACTTTTAGTAAAATTTACTTTGCAAACCCAGCTGAAGCCATTTTAATTACTTTCTTTCTCTCCTCTTGGTTTAATGCAATTAAATTTTATTTCAAGAACTATGTAGTGAGTATATAGAAACTCTTGTGAATTTGTATTCCATAAATAATGGAATTCAGACCACAGTTTGTAGTCAAGCTGTTGCACTATTATCTTAATTGCTCTTGAACCACTGTGTCCTTGCTGTGTTGCTGCAAATGTTTATTCATAAAATGATTTTAAATGCGAGAAATAATTTCACATTAACACAAACCAGGATATACATGAGGAAAAATATTAAACCTACACACTGGCTACCCTATTTGTCAAGTATTTAAAGGCTATTATTCTTTGTAGAAACTTAGTGTTTAGAAAACCTTGCAATGTTGGTTTTTACTTAAGAAAATGAGATTAACATCTTGGATTTACATGAATAACATTGTGTCATAATGGACAAAATTTTGTCAATACATGGATTCTGTTTTGTCTATAGTATGTATTATCAAACTCAGAAAATTCCCGCTTTCTTTTATGTAACATTTTTTGTTAGTACTCTGTTTTAGCCCCTCTCACCACCCCCCCCTCCCCGCCCCCCACACACACCACACACACACACACACACACACACACGTTTTCTTAAGTTTCTTTCCTCTTACTTGAGAAAACATTAAGGAGGTAGGGAGAATGGTTTATCAAATAAAATATTGCTTTTCTTCCTTTTTCAAAATAAAAGGAATCTTTTTGTCAGAGACATGCTACTTGGCTTGGTCTATTTTGTGGCTGTTTTGTGACATATTAATAGGTATTGGAACAGAGGTCCTAAAGTCATCATTATGGATGTTTTTCTTTGGGTCAAAGTGTTGCTCTGGAAGAGGAATTTGGAAGAGAGAGGATATGGAACTTGTGCAGTGCTGGTGGAAGTTTTTCTGTAGGCCGAAGTCATGTTTGAAAAACCTTGTCAATTTCCCTGCAGGCAAAAGTATATAGGTGTCTGTAATAAACACTGAAGGACCCCTTTGGAAGGTTATTTCTGTGCAGATGATCTTAAAATTAATATTGTGATACAGGCTTTACCAACATTAATTTATAGGTTTGAGGACTAAGAAATTAACTTAGACATGAAGAATTTTAGTTTTCTTTTTATATAAGCCTGCCCTGGTTAGACAAAATAAGCTGAGATGGAAATTTTTATTCCATTTGCTTCTATAAATACTAGTTTTCCTTTACCACGACCAAGTTAAATTTAACACTTCCTCCTTTGAGCTCTTACTATTTCAAATTCATAACTCTTTGTTGTTGGCACATTTTTGTTAAAGGAATGAACTGAATGAATAGTTAATTAACACATATGTACCAGGTTTTAATTTTTCTCTTCCCCACAACAGTTTTCTGGGGTATTATTATTATTATTCTCATTTTACAGATGAGAAAGCTGAGGCACAGAGAGGTTAAATTAAGTAAATTGCCCAAGAGTATATAGCTAAGAGCTGATATTTGGCCGGAAGCAATCCAGCTTAAATTTTAATTTACAATGGTTTTAGATTTATAGAATTATTGCGAAGATCATGTAGAGTTCTCATATACCCCATATTCAGTCCCCTATTATTAATATCTTAGATTAGTATGGTATATGTGCTCAATTAAAGAAACAATATTCATATATTATTGTTAACTAAAGACCATACTTTATGTTGATTTCTTCACTTTTTTTCTGCCTTTTTTCTGTTCCAACATCCCATCTAAGACGCATTACAGTTAGTAGTCATATTTGTTTAGACTTCTCTTTGTTGTGACAGTTTCTCAGACTTTCCTTGTTTTCGAAGATCTTTACAGTTTTGAAAATTAATGGTTCAGTATTTTATAGAATGTCCCTCCACTGGGATTTGTCTGATGTTTTCTTCATGATCAGACTGGGGTAATGCGTTTGGGGAGGAAGATAATAGTGGTAAGGTGCTGTTTTCATCATGTCACATCAAGGGTACATACTATCAATGACTTATGATTGTTGATGTTAACCTTGGTCACCTGGCTTGATGAAGTATTTGTCAAGTTTCCCCACTCTAAAGTGGAGAAACTTTCCTCTCTTTACATGCTGTATTTTTTTTATTTTAAGCATTTTATTTTGTACATACTATATTTTTTTAAAGAAAGTGATAAGGGATTGGGAAATTACACTAAACTTCTTAAAGGTGGAGTAAATACATAAATTATTTGAAATTTATTCATTAATTTATTTATTATGTATTTATGTCAGTATGGACTCTTGGATATTCATTTTATATCTTAGGTTATTATCTAATACTACTATCTGTCTGTCTATTTATCTATTTACTTATTTATTTAATTTATTTTTTTGCTCAAATTGTTCC